TTTTAACTTCGTTTGAAGTGACTGAATGCACATCTGGCCTTTACAATGACTCGCGGTGGCCTCCCGCTGAACCGAGCCAGTGCTGCTTAACCTCCCAGACAAGTCTGAGACCTGTCTGGTACCAATTTACCGACTCCGGACGGATGGATGGCTTGGTGAGCCATGAGCGTGAGATTGAACCAGTGACCTCGTGTGCGGCACAGGGCACCTCTAACCACTTCGCCACATGCGCCCTATAGTTTGAGCATATTATAGTGAAAACAAAAAGATAACACCAAAAAAATACAGTAAAGTGTTGTGGTAGGGAATCGAACCAGCAACCTTCTCTTTGGTTGACAGGTGCCGAGTGGCAGTGAGGAGTGAGAAAGACAGTGATTTCCACGCCGACATTAGACTCGCAGAGGGAAGGCGGAGCCGTTTCCACGCTGGAGTAGAGGAGGTGCAGCCTGTCCCATGCCGGAGCTGTGATCCCTTGTCAGTTAGAAAACCCGCCTTGGGTCCACGGAAGTCAAATAGTTAAATCGCCTCCATAAGCGACTATCGTGAAACAAAGGAGCCAATGATTATGCGCTGAGGTACGATGCCGCATAACTATTGGAGACAGGCCGTCCGAGTATCCAAGTAAGTAACTATACAGCAGAATAACTGCAAGGACCTGCTCTAAACGATGATAAAAACAAAAACATAGATGCATGGAAAATAACCAACAAAAACGAGAAAGTCTGAGAATTTTCCCTCTACCTCAACATTTAATTTCAGCATTGTGTTGTGCTTTTCATGGGCTTTACGTTTCAACTACCTGAACTTTTCTGCAATTCACATTGTAGTGTTCTAACTTTCATGTGCTGTTTATACTCTAAATTTCCATAGATATGAGTGGTTTATAGATAAGAATGGTCTTACTGGAAAAGAAGATTTTACAGCAGTTATATAAATTTTTACTAGCAAGCGATGTAAAGTGATATGCGAAGCATGTTCGTTAGGCAGCACTCTAACTCGCAATTCATCCTATCTGGTGGCGCGTGCTCTATCCCTTACTCTGCCGGGTCTCATCCAGTACAAATTACCTGTCAGCGTGAGTGGATCCAATATCGATATCGACTGCGTAGACCAAAGCGTTGACGCTTGTTCGCTGACAGATAGATGCGTTATAGCGTAGAAAGAGTGGTGACAAAACGGGTGTCAGTAGTGCAACGAGTTAGAGTACATGCTGCGGATACGGTGAAGTGTGGATTTGTGTCTCGCCTGACGCGTAAGTTTTGCTTGAAAAATGAAGGAATGCGTCTTTGCCCATCTTTTTTCGCAAAATTAAACAGCTCTTATCTGTGGAATTTTGCGGTACTATTTCCTTTTGCTGATTATTTTCTTACGGCGTTCACAGAGAGTAATCAACAGCCTGAGACATTCCTAACATCGGAAACAATTTCACTTGTTAAAGCCTTCCAAGTCACCTTCCTTTTTTAGAAAACTCGAAGACCATGCCATAAAATTTTTTAAGAGCGTGTGCCTTGCCGTGGTTAGAGTGCCTCCACGTCACACGTGGTCAATGCTTCAATTCCACATGGCTCACCATGCCTACCGTTCCTCCGAGTTCGCTAAATTGCTTCCAGACTTATTTGGGAGGATAAGCAGCAGTGACTCGCTTCAGCGGTGGGCCAACGCGAGTCACTGTAAAGGCCATAAATGCATTCAGTCACTCTTGACGATGCTTGTTGAACTGGCATCTCTCAAGGCCTCCAGTATTGAGCAATTTCAAAGGTTCTGTCTTCAGTAGTGTGTGGATCCCAGTACTTTTGGCACTCAATTCGTCTTTTGGTCCACTTTTTGAACGTCGTGAAATACTGGTTAAGCTCGCCCCTTACAATCTCTAGGATAACCTGGCTGTAGCGTTCCATAGTGCGTCAGTTGTTTGCCGCTCAAGAGTGTTGAAGGGTGGGCATCAGCCTCGGATCGCGTCGCAACAAACATCACAACCACTCGACCGCGGCCCGCGAGACTTCTTCATAGTTCCTCAGATGAAACATCGCGTGTTTTTGCGTTTTATTTCTGCTTTGTATGAGTAATGATGCTTTTCGTCATCGTAGTCGAGTCAGTGATGCTTTATCGTAGTCAAATCAGTGATGCTTCATGACTGTGTGATTTTGATTTAACTATGTTACTCGTGGACGAAACGACCCCTTAAACTGGACAGGAAGTTTTCATAAGATTGTTAGTAATCATAAAAAAATCTAAATCTCTGGCCTCTGCACCTAGGTGGCTCATTTTCGAAAATTCCTTTTTATAACACAATAGCAAAAAGAAAATATTTGTGTTTTTACACGCGCATATCCCTCGCAGGACAGAACTCTTTTCTTGAATTATAAGCAACCATTCAGTAGCGTAAATTTCAGCCATTCAAACGATGTGCTTGAATTCTGTAAAGGCGATTCCACTGTAGTGTAACAGAAAAAATAAAATCGCGTTTCACATAGACGAATTTGTTTGTTGGATATTGCGTGGGCTAGGTGTCTGCTGTCCGTGAGGTCGACAGAGCATCTCACAATTGATCGGTCGATCGTGTTAGGTTGACTTACATGTGGGATGCAATTCTTGCTTTTTGATTTGAAATTTTATCCTCCGCCTCGAAAGAAGTTTAAGATAAAACGTATGGCTCTGATACTACAAGATTTGTTTAACACGTTTATATGCTTTTCGTGCTTCCAGCAAAGTAATATTAGGAGCACGCGGTCGGCATGGAAAATAATTTTATTTTGAAGGTGCAATGTTATGAAACGGTCTTTTTAAAAAAAGCCGACGTTACGCTGTAGCGAGAAGTTTATGTTTTGAATGATTACTAACACTCTCATGAGAAGTTCACGTCTAGCAAAAGGAGTCGTCCTTCATTTAGTCTCAAATAACATACCTTTGGCAAGATTTCGGTGTGTTATCAATGAATAAGTGAACGCTGGAAGGAATACATATGTCCTAAAACATTAGAAAATTACCGAGGATGGAGGAGGTACTATTAGAAATTTGCAAGCGTTGCAAAATGATTCAAGGTGTTGAAGTTGCTACAGGTATCTGTGTCACGAGCAAGGAGGCTCCAATAGCGATGTGGCGTTCAAGGACATCCGTGCCCAGTGAAATCGTTCACAGTTACCAACGATTTTCACCTTATCGCCGCACAGTATGCTTAGAGTAGAGGAGGGTATGCTATTGGTTTATTACTCACTATATATCACTTTTGTGTTAAATCACACTGATTTTTAGGGTTTGAAAGTTCTTCGCCTAATATTTACCCTATAATGGCAATTTATAAGAGCGGTCCACACGCAACCGTGGTTTGTGTTGGAAAATTATACTTGATGGTACTAAATTGAAACGAAAGTCTTGGGGCACTTTAATAAGCAAGAGATAGTGTTCATGCATATCATGGGAACATTGCACTTTCTTATAAGGAGTTTTCCCACCGAAGGCCTAGATATTATTTGTCTTTCGTATTCACTTTACTCCAAGCTTCCGCCATGTCCAAAATTGCAATCAAAGTTCGTAATTTGTTGCGGCATCGTTGGAAAAAGGGCCTTCACAGTTAGCTGCAGTCGATGAAATCAACGAAAATGAACGGGAAGGCATAACAGTTAAGTCAGCTGCTGGACACTGGTTTCAACGCACTAATGTCGAAGATATTGACCTCGAAGACAAGCCTCGTTTAGGGCGTCCAATAAAGTTGAACAACAAACATTAAATGAGGTCAAGTGTTAGCGGCAATCGAACTTGATGTCTCTCATACAACTTGCAGAAGGTCGTAGAAAACCATAGCCTTATTAGGACAGTCCGTTTTCGTGAATTGTGCGGACCCAGTACATTTTCTACTCATTTCTTTCCGTTACGCGTCGTCCATGGTGGTGAGTGGATTCAAGCATGGCGACTGGCGCAAGTATTATATTGTGAGGTGTAAAATATTAGCAGCTGCAAGTACAGTTGAATATTGAATACAAACACGTCCACCCAACGTGTGGGTGATCGTCCTCGGAGTTGGGTGTAACCACGAGAAGTCCTTTTTACTGTTTTTTTCGTCCATCTATTCTGCCCACTATTTGCATAGATTTGAAAAAACACTGTGTGATGTTGAAATCTCGATTAAATACAATTTTAGCTGTATGAGTATAAACGGTAATGACAAGGTGAAAATCGATAAGGTGCCAAATTTTGTAAAAGCGTCTCTACTCGGCCGGTGGTTTAACTCTCGTCTGAGGTTGCATTTTTGCTCACCGCTCAAATCTCTTATGTAGAACTGAAACATCGTAACACTGTAAAAAGCCGCAAGGACTAAAAATTCTTCAGTAATACAGGAATATTAGAACCTGTAAGTAGTTGAGCATCAATCGTCGTCTGAATCGTTGTAAAACTTTGTTTATTCTGATAATGACGTCTGCAAAATGATAACGCACTTATAAAAATACAGTAGTAAAATTGCAAGAGAGAATAGCTCAACTCAGAAGAATCTTGTGCATAGAGTTGAGAAAGGGCCCTATTTAACTTCCATCCTAAATCTATTCTGTCTTAGCTATAACGGAATCGATTTTCAATTTGATAAAAGTGATTCAGGGTGGGGCCTCTCACTTTCTCAAAGTTTGTTTACAATATAGAACAGTAGCACTTGGAGAGTAGTGTTCTGCAGCTGGAGAAAGACAAAGACAACACATCACATCTGTAATTCTTCAGACATATGAGAGCGGAGACAAACTGAATATACAGCGGAAATTTGAGCGATCAAGATTCCTTTTGTTTTAACTGCTCTTTTCGCAGTATAATAATGTTTCAAATGTGTTTAGGAGATTTGAGTGTTTTGCAAAAACTCGACATCAGAAGGGAGTTGAACTTTCGCTTCACCCATACTGAGGATGCGTGCTAATCTCTATCTATTATCTATCTGTTATTCATCTATCTATTATCTGTTATCTGTTATAAAGAATCTTAATTACCATGTCCCAAAATAATTAAGTGATGAGCAAAAACACGGCCTCAGTTGAGGATCAAACTCGCGTTTCATCCTATCCGGGGACGAGTGCTCCACCACTACACCACCGAGTCACATTTGTCCGACCACTCGTTAATCAGCACCTCTACGTTAACTATCAGCCACCAACCTCTAATAGGTTTAATCGGGTATGCGATTTCGCTTGATAAACCCAGTTGAGCTGATAGCCATTCTAATAACTATTTTCGAAAGTTCTAGGAGTTTCAGTGCATTTTTTGTATGCGTTATATTGTTTCATGTATTCCTAATAGAAGTGAATGGTGAACAGAAAACATATAAAAATCTAGGAATAAATGAAACTAAAATTCGAGTATTAATTATTAGAATGACCGTCATCCCAACTGGGTTTATAAAGCGAAATCGCATGCTCGACCAAACCTGTTAAAGGTTGGTGGCTGATAGCTAACATAGAAATGTTGAAGAATGAATTGCCGGGCAAATGTGCCTCGGTGGTGTAGTGGTAGAGCACGTGTCCCCGGATAGGATGAAACCCGGGTTCGACTATCGCCTGAGGTGCCGTTTTTGCTCACCACTCAAGTTTCTTAGAAGCATATAAAACATTATCACTACGAAAAATGCAGTGAAAATGCTTGAACTTTCGAGTATTAGTTAATTGTTATGTTTTCGGTATAAATTCAGAACGATTCGATAATTTTCCACACTGACGTTCTTTGATCCTCTGTGAACATGGATATTTCTGCTTCGAAAATCACCTCCTTATGCATATGTGCCCTGTGATTGGCGTTTTGCTTTCAATTTTATCCTCGTTGTCTAGGTGTTCTTCAATGCGGACATAGAGGGATATTTCCGTTCCCTCCATATATTCGCTTCGGCACGTTTTGAAATAGATCAGTTAGATTGTACCTATGTTCTTGCAATCACCGTCTCTACCGCTGGGGTATATCATGCATTCTTTCGTATCATGTAGGCGGCTTTATGAGTTGTTGCAAACTAGTTGACCCCTAAGAGTATCCGATGGTATTTTAAGAATTATTATCACTTTTCCAAGTCTGTCCCTTTCATACAACGTTTAGCAGCTATACTTTTCTCATTTGAAAAAAAGGCCAGGTCAAATCATTGTTTGAGAACGTGTGTCATTCTCTCAAAACCTATACCGGGAAACTACAAAGTCCTAGCCATTAAAACAGCTATATCCCGAGCCAATTTCAAAGACTCTACCATCAGCTCTCTTTCAGTACACATTGGCTGCTATAAGGATTATGTTTTCAACAAGCTCCTTTTTTGTGTGTGGGAGGGGGGGGGGGGGTTGAAAGGCGAAGTAATGAACCAAGATATTTTTGCTGCTAGACTTTTGGTACAGCCTCGTGATGTAGTCAGTTTCGGATAGATTTATTTGCTTGTTCAGAAAAGAAAGCCAGTTAGTTTTTGATACAGCACGGGTAGACTTTCTATACTATAAATACTCTTTCAACAATCTAAAATATCTGTTCATTTCTCCTTGATCGCAGCAAATAATGAAACAGTCGTCTATATATCTACAGTAGAGTAATGGCTGGAGGTTATTCAAGGGGAGCTTCTGCTTTGGACTTGAGAAGTTAATATATAGATGTGCTACCAATTGCTGCTTTTTGCCAACCCCCTAATCTATGCAAAATATTTTGCGAACCATCTAGAAGCTGCAATTCAGGCACTGTTCTATAAAAACCATGACCAACTGTATTAACAAGTCAAACATGTTTATCGCTCGCTGGTGTTTAATATAAAACTCGTAAGCGGCTTGCAAGGCAGAATTCATTCGACACATTGATATCGGTCACGTCGAATAAACTCCATCACGCACGCGCTGTCATTTCGTAGACGATTCAAGAACATCTAAGTGTTCGTAAAATAGGCTGGAATGTCTTCAACAATTGAGATTATATGAGTTGAAAACTATGCTATCCTATTGGTCGGTTCGTCTACACAACTGATGATAGTCCTTACTATGAAGATCGATAATCTATGATGTGAGAACATCAACGAGAATTATCTTATGTGTTTTTATTAGTAAGTAAAAGACCGGACGTGCTGGTGATAGGAATTTTAATTCTAGAAATGATAGATGGTTACAAGCCTGCCGGTTTTGTTGTATTGACCCATTAATTGTTTAATTCACGGCGCTGTCTTTAAAGATCCTTCTCAGAAGATGATCAATAAAGCCAGACATCTTCAAGATGCTTTTTCGTTACTTCAAAATCTAACCAGCGAGGAATTATTACAAATTCTCCACCCTTATCACCATCGCATAATCTATTGTCGCTCAACCTCGTCAGCCCGCGAATTTCTCTCATTCCTCACCTTTGCAATTCGATGAGGTTTGAGCGATTTCCTTCTCGTGCGATAACTTTTAAGGGTTTTCAAAGTTTCGCTCGCAGATCTCCGAAATTTCCTATCAACTTCCTCAATGGGATCTTGTTGTGTACTGGTAATGGTAATGCCCCTGCATCAATTTGGCTCTTTTAACATCTAACGAAGGCAAAGCTGTTGCAACGTCAAGTATTGATACGACCTCTGCTGTACTATATTGCACAAAATAAACGTGTTTCAACAATCTCGCGCTTTAGGTATGCCCAGTAATGAAGAGTGATGTGCAAAATATTCGCGTCAGGCGGGATTTGAACCCATATCTCGCTCTATCGAGAGCGCTGCTTCAGCCCGTTGAGCTACCGGTACCGTTTCACCACTGCTCTTTCTACGCTACAGCCACGCGTTTGCTGAACGAAAGAAAATCACGGAACCATTTCTATCGTTTAGGTTTTAACAAAACTTGCGTGTTTTTTCTAAGTTGTCTCCATTTGTCATCGAAATATGTTATGCCTTAATTACTATTTCAACGATGTCAACGCTCGCACTACTTGCAAGTTAACCGGTATACCGACAACAAGTGACGAACTCAGTTGGGCGAATTTATAAAGGAGAGTTTGATCAAAACATGCGACTCCTTAAATAGTCAAAAATGCGTATCGGGCTGTTTTCATTATTGTTTCTGTTTTGTACCGTCTTCGCGATGATGTGTCTAATGTTGATGTCAGTTCAGTGAATATGTGTCACACTGATCAGCCAATTAATTTGAATGCGAATCATTTAAATGTCCGCTCGCCAATATATAGCTCCATAAAAAAAATAAAATAATAAATGGGCATAAATTTGCATTTCTACGGCATACATAAATTTTTTCTTTTGCCGGCATGCATTTCTAAAATCTTTGGAAAAGCGTTACAGGCAGGTAGTTCATAGCACTTTGACGCAACAGGTTTATTCATAGGAGACGACTATGAATTGATTTCCATGCCTTCGCTCTCTGACCATGCAAAATAACTTTTAGCCTGAAGTGTTTAAAATCAAATAAAAATCAAATACACTTACACACATGTTCTCAAACATGATTTACTGCACGCAAAAGTTATCATTCAGTAGCAGTGGTTACAAAAGTTCGTCTCTTGATCTTTTTTTATTTTTATCAATTATGACAACAAAGTATACACCGTCTTTATATAGTGTGGAAAGTGCTTACCAGATCAACCGCTTAATAGTTGGTTGCTGACAGCTTTGTCAGCTCATATCAAAGAAAGAGTAGGCCCAAAGCAGTGGTCTAGTGTGATAGTGGTAGCACTCAACCCCGGTAAGAGTGAAACGCAAGTTTGACTTCTTTACTTCGACCAGAACTTTATAATCTTCATGATAAGTGGAAGAAGTTGAGGAATCCATATACATATATACATGTATATATATATATATATATATATATATATATATATATTCGCTTTCTGTGAATTTTTTGGATGTCAGGATCATTTCGAGCATTCGTCTTGTTATAATAATGTATAATTTCAGAGCGATGTTAACTCTACAGAGAGCAGCTTCGATTGGCTGCCTGTTCAGTCTCATCACGTCGATCCTGACTGTGGATGATAGGGCCTTATCACAGTTTTTGAAGTCGCGTCAAACGGAAAAGCCATCAATGGAGATGAGACCTTTCAATGAAGATAGCGGAAAAACCCGATCACTTGTTGAAAGAACATTTACTCGGTATCTGGGACTCACTAAATACAAGCATGTTTTTACTTCTCATATAAATTTTCTCTATAAATTATATTATATTTTCTTATACTTGTATTTATATTTTCTTTGTAGTTGTATTTATATATTTTCTGTGTGACTGTACTAATAATTTTCTACTCTGAAACGAACCCCAAATGGTGATTTTCTTTTGAGACCAAAAAAAAAATCATTGAAGTCAATAGCATTGAAGGAAAATAATACAGAAGTTTGCATAGACATAAGCGATAACAATTTTTGAAGCTGCTTTGACTCTTGAATGTCAAAGTGCAACAAGTGATTCAATGTTTTAGGGTTCGTGTGAAAAGATGTTGCTGCTGTTGTTGTTGCTGTGGTGGCGGTGGCTGGAGGCCGTGGGGTATTGGGGGTGGAGCTATTCCGTATGGAGGTAGACCCTTTCCGTACGGAGGTTACCCGTATGGAGGTGGTGGACTCCCAATTGGGGGTGGGGGTTTCCCATATTATGAATAAAGATTCGAGCTTCAACACAATCTTCTCAATGGGTGCTGCTGTGATGAAGGCATAAAATGACATCATTTTTTCAAATTACTCTTCTAGTCTCCCGATGTGTTTTATTTTGTGATGTTGAGCATCACTGTAACTTAACGACAAACGAGTGTTTGCACGATTTTTATAATGGTTGCAATAACTTCAAATGAATTTAGCACTGATCATGAGTGAGCACTCAATACTGTTCTTGGGTAAATATCGGCAAAACAGCTACTAGTGAATTGTACGTCCTCAAAAACATTCCTTTCGTGTTCTCGCTGTGGGGCTTGACTGCTTGGCTGCTATGATATATAACGCATTCAAAGTGATCGTACAAGGTATACGGCTTTTCAAGGCTTAAACAGCCTTATCCAAGGGCTCTACATGACCAGAATTCCGAAAGCCATTTAATAAAACAAAAGTAGCTGCTCATTACCTCTAATCCCACTCTTCGCACACGAAAAGAAAACTTGCTAGAACGATTTTATGAGCATATACCACAGTGTAAACAGGAAGAGAGCAAAACGACGAATTCGTGAGCTTGAAACGTAAACTAGCTATTTTCAGAAGCTACAATGTGGAAGTAGCTCTCCGGGTTATGCACTGCGCCGTTAAACCGTTAGTCAGAAACGAAAAAAAACTCATTTTTCCTCCCTATTATTTCGAACGTCTCAAGTGTACTTATAAAGCGCTGTTTATGGAGAGTTGGTTTTCATAAATTAAATGCAGTGTGAATACCACCAAGCCTCCAGAACTCTAATGCGTCGCAACCGTCTGTATGACCACCTATGTGAGAAGTGAATTGCAAAGTTCTCCTTAGCTGTTGGGATTGCGAATGTATGAAATCGGGTACAATGCTCTAGATGTCTTATGGAGTATGTAAAGGGGATCAATTTGATATAATGGGTGATCGAGTTGGGCTCAAAAATAAACACTTCGTTGTAAAACTTAGAATCGAGCAAAACACT